AGTAGTAGTACTGCCTTCAAGCGACCCGGCTTCTTTCGCGGCGTCTTTCGCGCATCTTTATCGGATCTTTCGCGCTAAACCTACTATGATTTCACAAAAAGATAATCGCGGCATGGCGGGACAGCGAGCTTGAGACCTGTATGCCGACCGACTGGTACAGCATATACCTTACAAGTCCTATACGGCAAATCCATTGCACAACAACTTTCGCAGACCCATCGCGGATCTTTCGCAGACACACAACTTTACATTTTAAGACCGTTTTATATAATCCCCACACAAGGACCTTTAGATCAATGCTCATATATATATATGTATATACACATATATATACACACATACATACATACATACATACATACATACATACATACAAGCACGCACAAATACATTCACGCATACATGCACACATACATACATACATACATACATACATACATGCATACATCCATCCATCCATCCATCCATCCATCCATCCATCCGTCCATACATACGTACATGCATACATGCAGTACGTACGTACATACGTACATACATACATGCATACATACATACATACATAGACACACACACACCCGACAACCACTAACAAATATCAGGACACCAACGACGACAGCATCGACGACAATCACTACGACCAGCTGCCACCGCCACCACGGCAGGCATTATTGTGTTTCGCAAATTCAACGACAGCACAGAGTGTTGATCATTAACATTGTGCGTTTGCCTTTTTTGTATCAATCGTGCTTCTGCTCAGCACTGCCTTTAATATGCATGCCATCAGGACCGTTCATGTAGCTAGGGATATTAGTCTCGAACTTAATGCGACGGTTGCAACCGTCCCTGTCTGTCAAGACTACTTTGACGGAGCACTTTGCTCCAAGGTTTGGGCCAGTGCAGATCTCTTCCGCTCGTGACAGCTGATGCTCACCCGGATCGGTGGAGGCGCATTGCTTAGCTGCGCTTTGGCGGCATGCTGGCACAGGGCTTACCCTGCTGGCTGCTTTGCAGAGAAAGTAGAACTAGACTTGCGAGATTCCAAGAACCTGCTGCAGTGACGAGCACATGGAATATTCATCGAACTCATCTTCGTTCGATTAATGATGGCCGACCGTTGTCAACATCACGTTCAAGGTCATGTGCAAGAGATTCGCCCTTAAGGGTTGCTTTAGAGTCATTAAGGGGTGCTTTGAAGGTGTCCTTAAGGCTACGTAATCCTACACCCTAGCAACATATCCCCGAAGTTGCGAAGTTGTCGTGCAGGGCGAATTATATATGCCCAGGATCCAGAAGACATGCCATCTGTAAGGCAGAGACTGGACACCTGGAAGCTGTACACTAGTTGCTGCGCCAGAGTCATGAACTTACCGTCCAGGGCCAGGGCACCTACCCAATCGACCGTCGAGTCCCGTCCATGATGTTTTCCAGTTTTGTCATTTTGTGAGACATGGCGATATGCGGGATCCGACACTGCCGACGGCAAAAACGACATTGTCTCTCTGAAAGAAACTGTGCAGCGCTCAAAGTCCGGCGAGCTGCATGGGCCAGATGGGGCATGTTGAGCGAGCGGGCATCAGTACTATCACAGCTATACTATACGTATGACCTAGGGTCGGTCTATAGGTTTTTCAAGTGCATGGGGGAGCTAGTGCTTGATGCCCTTCTTTAGATTCACTCGGCGTTTATAGCTCGTGTTGATGCAGGGTCGTGGGTGCTCCGCTTAATTCAGAGAACACGTGCTTAGCCTTGCTGTGCTCGCCCTTGACCGGGGTCATCTCCGAGGATCCTGTTGCGCTGCAGCCAGAACGACAGACGCAATGACTACCGCGGATCGGTATTTGCATGCAGTTGTCGCAGCCGTTCACTTGCGCTTCTACTCGATAGAAGTAAGAAGAGCAGCAGCAGCAGCAGTCGTCGTCGCCGTTGCGGTTGTCGCCACCCTCGTAAGCACAACAAAGACAGCGTCTGTGGTAGCAGTCGTCATCGCAGGGGTGGCAGTGCTACCAGGCTTTGGAGGCTAAACAGGCTTGGAGTTGAAGGCCTTTTCGGGTAGCACACGCCCCAGTGTCAGGCAGTAATGGCGTAGTGGACGACGCCTGCACACACCAAGGCCGTGTAAGTTACTGGCCACGAGCAGAGCGAAGGAGGGAGCTTGAAATCCGCAGCAAAATGCTACAAGGTATTTCGAGAAGGCTTGTGTCCACCCAGTCCAGTTTCGGGCCCGGGTTTCAGTGTGTTAAGGTTGCGGTCCAGAGGCTGGGGATTTCAACTCATGTATCCTTGTTTTTAAGCCTGTCCGCGCACAACAGCATATTCACCACACTGAAAGGGGAGGGGGGGTTCAAAAATGAAAGCTTCAGCTATGGAGCCCCCGCTCACACCAACACTTTTCCCACTTTCCCCGCCTTCTCCTCGTTCACATCCCCATTATTCACCCAGGCCTCCTTCATCTCCTTTCCATCGCGGAGCCTAACTTTGACGAGGTTGCTCGTCTCCATCAACACAGACACGGGTGTGCGGAGTGGTGCTTCCAGACGCCGGGCTGCAGCATCAGTCAAAAAGGCGACCTGCGGTCCAAAAAGTGAAAACAGAAAAGCACAGAATATGACCTACGCCCTGCACAAGCTTCAATTTTTGAGAAAGGGAATTAGTAATTAGCATGTTGCAGGCTTTGGGCAGGATCCCTTCGGCGAACAAGGGTCCGGCAACTGTGCCATCGACTGCAAAGGAAATCACAACCTCTGCACACACCCTAACCTGAATCTAAACTATGCCACAGTGCATGGGCCCTGCCATGCGTTTGAACAATCACTCCTCGGGGTTTGCCCCGGCATCGGGCCGGAGAAGCTTGTCGCTGCAGGGCGAAGAAGCCTGGAACGACACAACTGCTCCTTTCCGGTACCTGCGTGTAGTGAAGAAGATGGTGCCGCAGCCTCTACTGACTGTGCTGGCGATGATGGTGACGATGATAGTAACGATGATGGCGATGATGACGGTGATGATGATGCTGATGATGATGATGATGATGATGGCGAATGACGACCGAAAAAACATGATGATGGTGATGATGGTGATGGTGATGGTGCTGATGATGATGATGGTGGTGATGATCATGGTGATGATGATGACGATGGTGATGATGAACAAGCATGGCGATGCACAGGCTGATGATGGTGGTGATGATGATGGCGATGATTTTGTCGACGCCGGTGATGATATGATGATGATGATGATGAAAATGACACGAGGAAGACGATGATGCTGTCTTTCTCATTGTTAGTATCATTAAGACCGCTATGTCTCTTACTGCTACTCTTATCATTGCAGTTATGATGAGTATGATGATGAGGGATCATTTGGTGATGATGATGATGATGACGACGACGAGGATGATGATGATGACGATGATGATGATGATGATGATGTTGAAACTGCTGATGATGACGATGAAGCTGGCGATGATGATGTTGATGATGTTGATGAGGAGGAGGAGGAGGAGGACGACGTCGACGACGACGGCAGCAAGGATGTCCGCGGCGGCTGTGACCATTATCAATGCCACCGCTGTCATTCTCCTCAGCATGGTCAACATCATCATCATCATGATCCTCATCATAACCATCATCGCCATCTTCGTCCTTACCAAACATTATCATCCTCATCGTCGCCTCCAAGGTCATCATCGCCATCATCAACAACAGCCGTCGAGCAGCAGCAGCAGCAGCAGCAGCAGCCGCCGCAGCCAACCACAAACACTAGCACCACCACCACACTTTTCTCAACAACATTACCAGCTTCGTTGGCACACCATGACATATTCATCCCATGGTCATTGCCAACATCACCTTTGTCGTCACACTGGCTCAACTATGTTTTTTGTCCAGTTATGCAGGCATCGAACTTTTCACTGGTAGCAGAAGGCAGAAGGATAAGCGCATGTTAGGAATCCATGCTCAAAGTGAGTTCCAAGAAGAAGACGCCAAACACGTCCAACCAATAAGATCGCAACCACAGGATTCGTTGTGTGCTACATGCAGGTTATTGCGCCGTGAGCGATGCTGGTTGTAGCCGTCAGAAGCCAGCCGGCTGCAGTAACGGCCAAAGAACATGAGCTTCCCCATATTTCACAAACTCCTGAGAATCGCAGATTAAACACTTCGCGCGAGCCGTGCACTAAGCCACCCGGAGGAACCTTCCTTCTCCGGAAGGAGCATGATACTTGCACGTATTGAACTGCAACACTGTACGATCTCAGGGCATCCCAAACAGACTGCCAATAGTGATACTCAGCACCCATCATGAGCGTTTCTGCACCACCCCCGAACGACTGAAGTACTTGGGGGTGTTCCCCCGCCAAATCAGCAGCACCCATCATGATAGTTTCTGCACCCCCCTGCAACAAGTGAAGTACTCGGGGGTTTCCGCCCCCATCCCCCCCCCCCCCAACCACTTTCCATCCCTTTCCAGGGGGTCCATGACGGAAGATGCCAAGTACCTTGTCACAGCTAAAACGGAGCCTTACTCGGCCGATACAAGTAAATTAGGCTAGGCTAGGTTTGGAGGCAGCCAAGAACACATTTTGGTCTTGGCCTCCGTTTTGGCAACATCTTGCCTCGGCGCTCACTGGAGCACTCCGGTGGCGGATGAGTCCATCGCTGCGCGGAGAAGAGGCCTGGCTCGAGAAAAGCATCGCTTGTCTTGCTGTTGTCATCACCAGCTTCTGACATTACGGCTGTTCAGGCTCTGTCTCCATGTCGAGGGCTCCAGGCACTTAAGTCAAGGAACCAGAATGGCCGAGCTGATTCTCACATGGCTTCAAACCTGGCAAATTTACATTCGTGCTGAGAAACACCCTCTCTTACCGTCACGATGACAAACTTCATGAGTGCGGGGCCCTGGCAAGTGGAGAGCTTTTGGGAGTTGTCCATGCCGACCAGCAGCCCTAGCAACAAATGCATGGAGCACCATAACTCGACGAGCTGAGACAGACGGAGATGGTGTCGATGGCGGCTGAACCTGGCTTCTGGTCGGCATTTCGGAGGTGCAGGGGGGTGATGTGCTTTGACGTGGAGTCCTAGTTCAAAACATAGCATACTTGAAATTGTACTTTCTTTTGCTTGCACGGCATTGCCCATCATCTTGAACCCTCAGGCATCGACAGCCACCCTGCACATTGCCAAGCCATGATTTGGGACTTAGGGGATTGGCGTTTTGCGGTACGGGGTGTCTCACCTGTTCAATGGCTCCGGAATCGATGAGGTGATTACTTTATGGCATTGGACCTACAACCTGAATCTTCCCAGGCACCGTCACGGGCATCGGTACATTCTGCATAATAAGGAAGTTCGCCGCCATGACCTGCTTTGAACTCCGATGTGGCTTGTGCAACTTGAGCACAGTCACCAAAAAAACAAGCTTTCTGCAGGGGCGCTACCGTGATCCATGACATGAAGCTCGCAGTTCTTCTCCACTCAAACCTGTAGGGCGTAAGGCGAAAGGGCTTGGAGAGACTCCTCCCGGATCGCTCCGGTTGGGGTGAAGAATCTGCATATCAAGTTCACAGCATGCCAAGCAAAAACGGAAGCCATCATCCCATAGATTCTTATTGAGCGAACAGGCAGCGACCGTCTCCTATTCAAACGAACGTCTCCTCGTTTACCAAACCACAAAGTCGTGAATGAGCAGATTGGTGCACTCTGAACTGCAAACAGTATGTCTAGCCGCACTGACGCCAGACCTTAGTCCACCCCTCACCCCGCCCAAAGAGAAACCCAAAGGGACGATGCACCCTGAATCCGAATACGAAGCCTCCAGGCGCTGGTTTCGCAGGCAAAGCTCCTGCGCTGAGGGAGCTCACAATGAGGGGGTTCCTTAAGAGTTCAGGAAAGCCCTGGCTCTCTATAACCCCCGTCGGATGAATATCGCGAACCTCAATTATCAGAGGAACGAGGAAGTTCTCACCAGGTTGTTACAATAAAGTTTGTGCTTTTGTGACTTCGGCCAGGGTTCTGGTTCAAGGCTTCGGGGTTTAAGGTTTGGAGGTTTAGGGTTTCGGCTATGTTCGTCTCTGCCAGACTAGACAGGACCTCGAGTCTAGAGAGTCTAGGATCCATCTCGTGCAGCTTACTGCTAGGGTTTGGGCCGTAAGTAAGGCCAATGACAGGACGTTTGATTCAGCTTATGGCCAGCTGCAGTCTGGCAAGCTGTGAAGTCTATCACCCTCCCTATCACTGCCCCCTAACCCGCTTGAAACCCTGAAGTCCGGAATACTAAATGGAAGTCCTACTGTAAGGCCGCATGTGACATCGGAGGCCTCTTATCAAGGCGCACCAAGATCAACCGAGTACTATTCCACGAAGTGCCCTGGACTGAACCCACACCTGGCAGAAACACTGTGCCACCCCCGACCCTCATCCGATTTGGCCATTCTGACCTGATGGGCTGCAAACCTCTACATAGGTCACCTTACATCCTGGTGAAACCCTTGCGCACCCTTTTGAACCCTTGTAAACCATGACAAACCCCGAAAACCCACACCCAACGGCCTTCTGCAACCCTCTGAGCTCCTCGTTCCGGCTCCGAAGTGTCGCAACCTCTGCCCGGAGGGAAACAATCTCTCCCATGTCCTCGTCATACCTGGGCGTCTGGCAACTGATCCTGAATCCGGAACCGACATCCTGATAGCTAAACCGTCATTCCTCTGCGTTGAACCCTTGCATACGATTTGGAGGAGACCCTGAAGCCCAAAGCCCAGAGGTAAGGCAGGCGAAAGACAGAACGGCGGATCCGGGAAGGGCAAAAGGGAGAGCCATGCTTCAACTGGTTAGGTCCACAAGGCTGCCGTGAAAATCTTCAAGCCGCACAACAACAAACCACCGCCGCCGCCACCACCGCCCAGCACCAGCACCAGCACCGGCACCGGCACCAGCCCCACCCAACAACCACAACCGCGACGATGACGACCACAACAAAAAACTGCAGCAAACACAGCAACAGCAGCAGTAGCAGTAGCAGCAGGAACAACAGCAACACCGAAGCAACAACAACAGCAACAACAGCAGCAACAGCAAACACATCGCCAGCAACAACAACCAACACAACAGCCACAACGACGACCACAACGAACGCAGCCGCAGCAACAATGGCAACAGCAACAGCAGCAACAGCAGCAACAACAAATAGCGACGACAACAACAACAACAACAATCACAAGAACAATCACGACAACAACAACAACAACGACAACAACAACAACAACAGCAGCAGCAGCAGCACAGGCCAAAAACAACCACGACCAACACAACCACAGCCAAAACGACGACGACGGCCACGACGACGACGACGACGACCACAACAACAGCAGCGGCATCAACAGCAACAGCAACAGCAGCAGCAACAACAACACAACCAACGACGACAACGAAAACAACAATAACAGTACCAGCACCAGCACCAGCAATTACAGCAGCAGCAGCAGCAGCAGCAGCAGCAGCAGCAGCAACAGCAACAGCAACAGCAACAGCAACAGCAACAACAACGACAACAACAACAACAACCACCCACCACAACAAACAACAACATTAACAACAACAACAACAGCAGGAACGATTACCACCACCACGACGACGACAACAACAGCAACAACTACAACAACAACAATAAGCATACCAACAATAAGAAATTAAGCCAGTCATGGTAGTAACGAAGCTAACATTAATTCGGATGACAAAACAACGACAACCTTATCAATAACAAGAGTAAACAGAACACTAAGATTACACTTAATGAGAATGATAATAAGAATGACCTTGGCAATAACAAAAACAAAAATGATGAGGTTACAAAGAATGAGAAGCAAACCTATCACTGTGGCGGGAAAGCCCGACTGCAGATTGTGGTCCCGGATAGCGCCGGGTGTGCGCAAGTATGCGCCGGTATATGCGCGGGTATATGCGCGAGTATGCGCAAAGTATGCGTGGGTATATGCGCGAGTATGCGCGAGCATGCGCGGGTATATGCGCGGGTATATGCGCGGGTATATGCGCGAGTATGTGCCGCGGGTATGCACGGGTATGCGCGAGTATATGCGTGAGTACCGGTTTGCGCGGGTATGCACGAGTATGCGTTCGTATTTGCGCAGGTATGTGCCAGTATACGCGAGTGTGCACTGCGGCGGGAAAACGCGACTGCTGGTGGTGGGGTTACATTATATTAACCATATTATGTAATATATGAGAAAATAAATATTACATACTGCATAATAATGCATATCATTATGCATTGTATATCCGAATTTACACCGTATCTGACTCTTACTAGTGAATCGTATATCATATACCATACAAGTTGTATGCTTTACAGTAGTGAATACCATGGTCCATGTTTCTGATAGCTGCTATACATTGTAGTGCCACTCCGGTATGCTCGAGCACATTGGAGCATATACTCGAGCGTACTCGAGCATACTCGGGCGCACTCGAGCATACTCAATCGTACTCGAGCATAGTCGAGCACACTCGAGCATACTCGAGGGTACTCGAGCGCACTCGAGCAGGCGTACTCGAGCATACTCCAGCGCTTGCGCAAGTACTCGGAATGCAGTCGCCCATCGCGTCCGCAATGCATACATCTTGTACTGTTAGTCACACTAAATTGTAATGAGACCAACATCAACAACAACAGCAGCAACAGCAGCAGCGACAACAAAACAACAACAGCAACAGCAACAGCAACAGCAACAACGCCAACAGCCAACAGCCAGCAGCAACAGTAACAGCCAACAGCCACAAGTACAACAAGAACAACAGCCAACAGCCACAAGAACAACAAGAACAACAACAACAACAGCAGCAACAGCAACAGCAACAGCAACAGCAACAGCAACAGCAACAGCAACAGCAACAATCACAGCAACAGCAACATCAACAATCACAGCAATATCAACAACAAAAAGCAACAGCACCAACACCAGCACCAGCACCAACACCACCAGCAACCACAGCAACAACGACAACCACAAAAAACAGCAGCAGCAGCAGCAGCAACAGGAACAGCCATTGATAACCCACTGAGCCATAAGAATAATGTGCGCTGTGCACCCTTTCGTAGCAGCGAGTTGCGAGCAGCTGATGGCCCGGAGAGCCCTTTGCTGTGCTTCTTTCAGGTCTCTTCGCGTCACGATGACATCACCGTGCACTGGCAGTTGGAGACCCGTCTTGGACCTTTCTGGGACAAATGCGGAATCTAGGGTTGAAGGTCATGCAATTCAGGTTTACGCAGGGCATGAATCTTCAGTTTGCCATCATGTCAAGGACTCGGAGTTCCAGCCCAGCGAGCTGTCTGGGGTTGGGAATACCTCATCACGAGACCATAGTCACGATCGCGGTAGCAACACAAGAACCTTACAGACGTAGCGGGGACACGGCTCCAGAACAATGCTGCTAGTCATGGCCAGGCTGGCAGTTTGAATGCACGACTCAGGACCATTACTGTACGTCAAGACCTCAAACAGCGATCTCCGGGCTGCTGCAAGCGCGCAGGTTCTCAATGACCCAAGGGGTGGCATCTTCGGAGACTCCCCAAAAGCAGGTTCGGACAGCCCGGGGCTCTAGGGCCTCTTAGGGTTTGCGGCGCAACATCATGGCTTAGGGCCAGACTCTCCTTCATCCCGTCTGGCATTTATATGACAAGATGCGAAAAGATTGAAGCCCCAACCCCAAGCCCCAACCACCGAAGCCCTCAAGGCTACATCCTAAACCCGGAAACCTCTCGCTCGCCTCTTCGGTCGTCCGTGCTCCGGCTTCCAAAGCCTTTCGACTGCTTCGGGAAGTCCGAAACCCTAAACTCCAAACCCTAGGTTTGGGATTCCTGGTTTGTTCGGTGCTCAGGGTTTATTGAATTGTATGATAAACTGCCTCTCAGAATTGGTACCTGGCTAGCTTTGACTAACCACACTGTAGACCAACATCCAGCAGTTCAGGTCTTTCAGGATACTGCAACAAGATGTCGTAGATGTCTTGAACTTCATATTGGAGGAAGTCATCGGTTTGAAAGGGTGGTAAGACTGTACGAGTAGCAGGCCCACAAGATTGAGTGGCGGAGGCAGCGTCGACTCATCATCATACTCGAGAACGGCCTCAATCCTCGAGAACGCCCAGGAGGTTTGAGACATGGACTGGTTCTTCTCATAGGTGCTGTTCATAACAGCAATGAGCAGATTCACCAGCAGCACATTGCAAACGAGCGCCAGTATGTAGACCAAGATCGTGGCTGTCGTCCTCGTGATGGGAGGAAGAGTCTTCAGCTGGGCCAATGCCGCCTCATCCATACTCCCCACAATCGTCCAGAACGCCCAGGTGAGGCCCTGGCTACAGAGTAAGCAGAGTAAGCAAAGCAGGAACCGACTATGTCGAAGCCTTATATCCACATGGCATCTATATAATCTAGAAGATGCGTGGAAATAGTTGTTGGCCGACCTGCCTGGTTATCCCTCTCCTCGATCTGCGAGAAGAGAATTGGAGTGATGGCGCAACTGAACGCACAGCAGAAAATGAACACCAAGATGAAGAACTTTAGGGCATCCTGATGATGGCAGCAACGAGAGACAAAAGCAGGTTGTCGCACAGCAGAAATACGACACGGTTCTCAACTAAGGCCGACTGCCCTTGTTCCTGACAAAGCGATCACTAAGTCTCAAGATGGCTTGAAGAAGCCGGCTGCTGCTCCTAGAAAGTCGCTCGCACACCGAAAGCAAAGGCTGAGGTTGCTCCTTGGCCATCCCGAAGATGGTGATCAGAAGGGTTCCGAAATGCTCCGAGTTCTGAAGCACTTGCAACACCCTGATCCAACCTGAGCTGAGGAGCTTTTGGGATGGGCTTCTGGGGTTCTGGGCCCCCCGGAAGCGCGCCGAAGAAGCCGAATATATCTATACAATGATCACCTGCTGCTATCTTATACACAATAATGGGGCATCGGTTCAGCTCTCTTGGGCAATGAACGGCCTGGGACACCAAGCAGAGTGCAACCCAAGCAGCAAGGCAGCAGATTCATCGCATGCATCACTTCCAGCACTTGCTCCTGAGCTGTCTCGAACTCTCGGCAGTACTGACCATGGCTGTACGCGATTCGTTCAATGCCATACGTGGCATGGGACACAGGAGCAAAACTCAATTCCTTGATGTTCTTCTCAAGCAAGAGACGTCGTTTTTCTTACTGCTTGCAGACTCGCCTCAAAGAGGTGCCCTGTCGCGAGACCAGCGTATCCCTCATAAGCAAGCCCTGAAGAAGCTCAAATCTTGATGAGGCGACATGCAACGGTTCTCACGGCACAAGCAGATCTGCCCTGCCCGTCGCTGGGTCGCGTGCGGGTCACTGAAACTCACTGCAGCTGTGTCAGAACACGAACGGTCCCTACAGCACCATGGAGCCTGTTTTCAGCAACAAGCTTTTTGAGGACTCAGTTCTCAATCCTGCAAGCTATGATCACTAAAATCTTTGTTTGCAGATGCATCTAATTTCCGAGATGTTACAAACCATCAAAGTCTCGGGCTTGTTCATGTCCCGGCTTTGGTCGGCCAGGAGGAGTCCAAGCACCAACGCTGAAAGGAGCACCTCGAAGCAATGTAGGGGAAAAGTAATATTAGTCTTAGTGCAATGCGGAAGGCCCTACGGCATGATGGTGCTTGCGGTGTACCTCAGAGTCAACCGACGCGTCCAAGAATCACGCAATGAATTCTAGCAAACAGCGGGAAAGTCCCTACCTCCAGCGTGCATGCATTAGGGAGGATATCTGGTCGGAGTGCTGGGCAAAACGCTCTATTGCAGCACAAGGCCCAAAAGCCCAAAGAATGCACAATCCCAATATAGCAAAGCTTGGATCAAGCTCACGAGAAGCTACTGCATAACACCCGGGACAACAGTCAGCGAAACCCTACAGCAAGATACAGCAGGGAAGGCACACATGCGGTGTAGCAAGCAGGCAAAGGCAGCCGAAGAAGCCCTCCACAAAGTTGCGCGGTCACAAAGTTAAGCCTTGTCGTGCACATGCGTGCGCTCCCCCTGGCCCCACGATGAATGGCCCTCACAGAAGCATTACGTTGGAGCAAAGGCTCAAATTGGGCAGAAACCTGATTGCAGGCAGAAAAGATAAGTAGGGCAAAGGACTGCGCAATCCCAAAGTGTCGAAGAGAGACGCAACCAAGACTGTTTGCTCAAGCATATTCTTCACGGAGTCAGCTGAGGCGAACTGCGAGCAAGACTCCACGCAGCAGAGATTCAAACGTCACTGCGCAGTGGCGCACTACGCTGAGCCTGTTCCTCTACAGGAGAGGCAAACTGCAGAGTTGATCCCACGGAGTCATAACTCTGTGCCCACCGCACACTAGCATAGGTGCTCCCTCAGGCAAGGAATATTAAGGGAGTACTCAAGCCCACATATGAGTGTTCGACACGGGCTTTTAACGAATGGTTTAATCTGCACCGTCATTGACAGCTTTGATCTTATCCATGTTGGGCTCCTGCAAAAAGCGGGTGATCTCCAAATGGCCATCCGCAGCTGCGATTCACGACGGGGTTTTGCCACTCCGGTGGGCCTTGTCCTCGTCCGCATTGGCAGCCAGCAAAAAGCCACACAACTTCCAACTGTCCATTCTGAGCTGCGATGTACACAGGGGTGGTGCCACTGTGACGAGCCTTGTCCTTCTCGGCATTGGCCTGCAGCAACAGCCGCACAATCTCCAACTGTCCTTTCGTAGCGCGACATACAAAGGGGAGGTTCCACTCTGAAGTGGCCCTTGTCCACATTGACTGTCAGCAAAAACCGCACAACCTCCAACTAACCACTCTGAGCCGCGACGTATACAAAGCGTTGGCGCCACTCCGGTGGGCTTTGTCCTTGTCGGCATTGGCCTCCAGCAGAAGGCGCACAACCTCCAAATGCCCTTTTGCAGCTGTGAGCATGAAAGGGGTGGCGCCATCACCCGTGGCCTTGTCCTTGTCCGCATTCTCTTCCAGCAAAAGCCGCACAACCTCCAACTGCCCCTTCTCAGCTGCGACATAAGGGTGGCGCCACTCTGATGGGCCTTGTCCTTCTCCGCATTGGCCTCTTGCAATAGGCGAGCAACGTGCAAACGCCCTTTGCCAGCTGCGATGTGCAACGGGTTGGCGGCATCATGCGTGGCTTTATCCTTGTCCACACCTCCAGCAAAAGGCGTGTCACCTCGAGGTGGTCGTTCTCGGATGCCACAAATAGTGCGGTCAGCATTGGATAGCAACACATTCTATTCTAAATCTGGATCCTGTTGCCTTTGTAGAATACTCTCCACTTCTGCTACTCGGCCGCTTCCTGCAGCATCCAGTTTGAGCTTCAAATGTTTGGCAGAAGCTTAGAAGTACGACTTGAACTTGCCCAAGTCTGAACGTGTGTTCCTCATGTAAGACATCGTAATCCTCATTCGCCTCCTCCTCATCCTCCAGATCATCATCTGAATCCAGATAGACGAGACTTTGCCTGAACCTTGGAAGCCCAAACTATGTGCAAGCGCTGCTTCAGTGCCCGAACTGCAGACATCCCTGCCGGAAGCGTCTGGTGAAAGCTCGCAAGTCCAGAGAATCAAGTGGTCGACCCGAAACTGTGCAGATGCGCAGCATGTCGAGCCCTAGACGGAAAGGGCTCGGACCCGAAAGAACAAGCTTGAGACAATCATATTGGTAGTTATTCATGCTTCCATGTTACGGCTAAAGAATGGGAAGTCCTAAAATCCTTGGCTCTGGCTTTCAATGCTTGTGCATGCTCGTGCAGGGGCGCTTCATGGACGTCTGTCCTCAGGATTTCGGGTTTGGCGCTGGTTTTTTGCAGGCTTCAAGTTTTCAGGTTCCCAGATGTGAAGCCCTCGCTAAACAAAGTACCAAATGGCAAGAAGGGTAAAGCAGAGGGAATGTGGGCGGGGGCACCGTGATGTGCAAGGCGTCCAAGATGTTCCAAAAGTCGTGGATGTAGGAGTGAAACCTGGCTCGACAGGTAATCTGAAATCCAACTGAGTTCCCGAGGGCGGACGCCTAGGTCAGTCGCTCACTGCGCAGATGAGGGCCCCGATGCAGATGTTGATGCGAATAAATGTAATACCAACGCCAGCAATACTAGTCATAATTAGTAATATTACGCCAACTCGATTGTGCTCATGGGCAGCAGCTGCAGCGACGAGCCGGAGACCTTAAGCTCCAGCGTCAAACCTGAACCCCACGACCTGACTCTCAAGCTTAATAGGCTTCAACGAGGCTTTGACCATCAAGACATAGATTCGACAACCCAAGTGCGTGATGCTCCGAAAGTACTAAGCCTTTAGCTGTAGCTCCAATCCAAAGCTCCATCCAACGCCCAACCAAGAGACCCGCTGTTCTCCAATTGCCGAAGCTCAACCAGGGCAAGGCCCAGAGCCCATAGGAAGAGCAGCACCTGGATTTCGGCTACGGGTGCAGGGACTGGAGGCTCCGGGGTGCAACAGGACTCTGGGATTCGGGAAGGTTGGGCTTCGCGGCTCTGGGCTTGGGAGACGTGTCGCAGAGTACGGTTCGGGATTAGTAAAGGTACATGTCGGCATGTTGCCAGAGGGCTTAGGCTTTGCTCTTCTCAGCTCTTAGCTTGACGACTTGAAGCTGTGGAGTTTGTCGAAGCTTTCGAAGTGCAGACTTTCCGATCAGAAGCGTCATGGGAGCATGGAAGACCAAATTTAAAGTTCTCACCCGGTTGCGGCATCACAGTCAGTAGTGCCAACCCATAAAGACGAGTGCTGCCCTAGTATGAATTCGCTTGTAGCACAACACCTGACATTTAAATGTTGAGACTCGTATGATTGCAGCACAGCAGGCCTCCATGAAGCAAATACTGCCCACCGCCAACAGTCTGTAGAACACCGCATAAGAATAGAGAGCGACGAAAAGGCAGCGGGCGATACCATTGGTCCACGCCTTCAGCTTGCATAGAAGGATCTTGGGACAGAAGTTCTGTACTTCCCGAAACCGCCGCAAACTTGACCCTGCGGTTGTTCATGGCTTCTGCCATGATGATCCAGTTAGGTAACCCTAAATGCTCACGTTTGGTGGCTGTTGGCTGGAATGCAATGAACAATGTGTCTGCTACTGACGAGTATTCGCCGAAATGGAGATATACTATATGTAAACAAGACTGAATATGACCATAGCAACAAGACTATGAATAAACAAACAAATAATACAGTGTGTATCTGTCATAAACAGAAACAGGCATGCATGCATACATGCGTACATGCCTGATCCTGCCTGCCTGCCTGCATGTGCCTTCCTTTGCCAGCTTCTGTGCCTGCCTGCGCGCCCGCCTGCCTACACTGGGCCTCCACACACACACACACACAGATATATATATATATACACACATACACACACGTACACACATACATACATACATACATACATTCATTCATTCATTCGTTCATTCATTCATTCATTCATTCATTCATTCATTCATTCACATACACAAACGCCTATACGCGTATACACAGATATACACACACAGAGGCGCGCACACACACATGCACACGAACACACGTTCAAACAAACAAACAAACAAACCAACAAACAAAAACAAACAAATAAAACAATCCAACAAGCGTACATACATACATGCATACATAGATACATACATACACACATACATACACACATACATACACACATACATACACACTCATATACATACATACATACATACATACTTACTTACTTACTTACTTACTTACCTACTTACTTACTTACTTTCATAATTACATACTTACTTACATACATGCACACATACATACGTACATTGTATACATAAATACATACATGCATGCATGCATCCCACACGCACACGCACACGCACACGCACGCGCACGCGGACGCGCACACGCATGCGAGCACACACACACACACTCACTCACTCACTCACTCACTCACTCACTCACTCACTCACTCACTCACTCACTCACACACAAACAAACACAAACACAGACACACACACACAAACACACACAAGCACTTTCAGAGACACATATATATACACACACACACTCTTGCATCAAATCTCAAGCTGGAATGTCGTCGGTGATGTAGCTCTTTTGTTTGTATGACGCTATGATCTGCTGCTGCTTCTTTGTATACTGTAGGGGACTCAAGGCTGGTATTCATCCTCCCGTAGACTGACATGGGAACAACTCCGAAGAAGAGCTGCCATTGTACGCTCACTGACACAAGAGTCATGAAAACTCATGTCAACACACGGATTGTCGAGTCCCCTACACCTATCCACTACGGGAGCCTGGTGCAACTACAGGTTTACACGTTTGTAAACCCATCTGCCAGGTCTCGGTTGTAGTGCTTCCCCTGCTTCTTTATGTCTACGTACTCACATGACCGTTAAGTACTACTAGCCCTTTGTCGCCGTCAGGCAGGCAAGCAGGCAGGCAGGCAGGGAGGCAAGTAGCAGGTCGGTAGGGAGGCAGGGAGGTAGGTGGGTCGGCAGGTAGGTGGACAGATAGACAGATCACACAGAGTTCAAGATAAATCAATAAATAATTAGATTATAGATACCAGCGGGTAGATAGTAGCTAGCTAGGTCGGTACATGGATAGATGGAGCATGGCCTTGCCTGGACATACGGGATCGAGAAGAACTGCCAGGGACCAAAGTCGCAGATCTTCAGCTCTTTGGCTTGCCCCTTGGAGTCTGCACGGAGGCTAAGCCACGACCGCCAGCTGAAGAGCTTGGCATGATCCAGTTGGCCGTGATGGAAGTGGAGGTGAAAAGGAACTGGTGTCATCCAATACCTTGTTAAGGTTCAGAGTGTTAGCTTTATGGCTTTCCTAGGGCTTTCAACGTCAGGGCTTTGGGGGAACAATTAACCCCATGATCTAAAGCCGCTGACCTCGAGCCCTGAAGCCCCAGCCCCCAAGGAAAAAGATCCGTCAGGGAACTGGTCGACAGCACGCCGGTAGGTCGTCTTGGACACAAAGGTCCTCGGCTGGCTCAGGTGCAAGGCAAGAGAGACGACTGTTACCCGGACATCAGATTAGCAGACCCGCACAAGCCGAGCCAATCAAAAACAGGTCGCTCCTAGCCATGCAAGTGATGGTCAAGCACACACGGCGATAAACTATAACTAGAACCCACCGATGGGAAATCGGGAAATACATCTTCAACCAATGCAGAACACTAGTACAGAAACACTGGGGGACGGCAGAAGACAGCCAAAGGTCTTGCAACCCAGCTCGTGCGCGAGACGAAAGCAGTTGCGATTGCCTTGCCAGCGGACCGGCTCCTCTCAGGGTGTAGGCGTTGATAAGGTTCGGGGCTTGCGTCTGGGCTCCTAACACCAAAGGAAGCAGCCATAAAGTTTCCTGTAGCGGCTCGTTCTCGTGGGCCAGTCCGACTCTAGACTCTAGCTTTAAGCCGTATCAGATGTGGTACCCCTCCCTTGTAGCCACCATTGAACCGTGAAGCGCAACGAACGCCCTACTGTAATCCCCCGTCGTTGTTCTGTTTGCCCCAGAGCCCAACCCTTGGAACCCAAAGCCGATAAGCCCGCCGAAAATGGTCCAACACGTCGCACAGGCACTAGAAGCCTCTCCTGGAAGAGGTACTCCACCCCTTTCCCCGACTGAGCAAGGTCTTCCAAGACGAGGATGGCAAGTTTCTCGAAGCGGTCCGCCGATTCCTGCAATCTGGCATCATCCCAGTAGCCAATCAGTAACTGCCATGACAAACCACTCCACAACACCACTTTCATTTCTTGACGATGCTTGCTACAGTGGCGGTGCTGATACTTTCGATTGCTTCTGTAACAATCGAAATCGCTGCTGGGAACAATTATGCGGCAATTGCGGCTGTGGTGATGGGGCATGGTGGTGGTGGTGGTGGTGGTGGTGGTGCCGGTGCCGGTGGTGGTGCTGCTGTCGCTGGTTGTTTATGATGTTTGGTGGCTGTGTAGCTCAGTCTGTGATCTATTCGACGCCACGACATCCACTGCAGTGCAGATTGCAGATGCCTGGAGAGCAAGGTTGTGGGGTGCAGCTTTCCTCGGAGCTTCAGTCCTCCAAATCCTTCTTGGCCAAGCCGTCCTGGTCGGCGCGAGATGGCACCAAAAACAGCCGACAAGCCTTCACAAGCCCGAAGGCTTCTTGAAACTCATCAACATCCACATGCCAAGAAAAACGTCCTGGAACCGACAATGAAACAGAGCACTCGATATCTTGGAGATCTCGAAGACAAGCCCTAAACCAGTTTAGCCTGGTGTTTGAACCGTGAACCGACTCCTCATGCCTTGCCCTGCAGTCGCAGATCAACTCTTCACCAACGATGGAACGGCGTGGAACCCAACAGGACAACCGAAAATATCCTTGCAGAAAACTCTCAAAAGCCCTGCAAGCCGATAACACCCTATTGCATGGTTCGTGTGGCGGGAAACCTCGTGAACCCCTTACGAGAAAGAAATAAAAACCAAGGAACAAAAATGCACCATCCCTACACAAGGCCCTCAACAAACAACCCTGCCAAAGCACCTCGAGATACAGCTTGATGCAGCCATCAAGCCTCGGTAGAACCCCGCGAAACGGGAGTCGCGAAAAATCAGCACCGGAACCGACAATTCAAGACACCCCCGGAAAGATGCATGGGTCCTGGTAGGAAGCCGAGCCATGTTCCCTCTCTGCAGTGTCTCGGCAAGCGGAGGCAGCGATCAGAGCCGCATGGACAGGATCCTGAAGGGTTTAGGATGGACTTTCGAAACTGAGCCGAGGTGAAAGGATTTGCGATAACCCGGAGTGCGGTCTCCGGGTTCGGGTGTTTGTTAGGGCTTCGGGCTGATGACTGCAGGACCTAGGGTTTCGGGAAAGGAACACAGCAAAGCAATGGATGGCTCTTATGCCAACGGAAGAACATCAGCAACCACGACAACGACGACGATGGCGACCAAGACCAAGACCAAGACCAAG